ACACACACACGGACACACACTCCTCGGGCGAGCAGCGAACCCACCGGGAGGATATGGACCCAGTGACCGGAGCAGGGAGCGGGGAGCCGGGCTGGATTCTAAGGACGAGCCGCTGTTTTTAAACCATCAAACCTCCACTCTGCTGCTAATGCTAATGACACCTAGCTAATTAGCAGGTGCGCTAACCAGGTTAGTTAAACGGAGTGAAGTGGTTTAAAGTCAAAGCTGCTAATAAGCTACAGCTAACTCAGTTTGACTAGTTGGTACCATGTGGAGTTAGACTGGGTTAGTTGGACTGAAGCTGACCGGTTTAAATCAGAATCAGGTTATTAATAATCTGAGTTTATTATTATTATATGATTATTCAGTCTTAGATGAGTTTTAACCTGGTTAGTTAACATGAGTGACTGTGTGAACACTAGTTGTGAGTTCAACAGGGACTTTAAACCAGAGTCAGGTCTGGATCATAAAACACGTTGGGTCAGTTCCAATGTTGTCTGGTTAACCGTTGGTCGGTTGGTTAGTTAGTTAGTTAGTTAGTAGGTTAGTTCAGACTCGGGTTTGAAACTTCAAAGTTGTCCTTGGGGTCTTTGATGAACTTGGTCCAGGTGTAATTCGGGTTCAGGTCCTGGGTTCACAATGGCAGAGCTCCACCAGACGCCCACCTCACTGTGCTGCTGCCGTAAATCGCTGCCGGTTTCTGGGGCCCGGCGCGTTGGAGACTCCGCTCGGCCCCCGGTAGGCCTGGGCCCAGAATCTCCTCGATGCCCCCTGGTGGACGTGGCCTCAGCGTCTAACTTCAGGTGCTTTCAGCTGCGACACTTCCACCTTGACCTGCGGCTGAACTTTGCTGTGAAGGAGATGAGCGGCTGGCTGGTTCTGGACCTGATCCCAGTCCAGCCGGGGGTCCACACCCTGGTGCTGGACTCCCATTGCTCTCTGTTGATCCACTCTATCGACTGTAAGGCCCCGGGGGGCGGACAGGAGGAGCCCATGTCCCTCACATACCGAGTCGATCCCTTCACAGACTACGGATCTTCACTCAACATCAGCCTCCCGCCAGCCGCTGTGAGACAAGGACGAATAATCCAGATCACAGTCCGCTACAGCACCACAGACGGACCGGCGGTAAGAGACCATGACACACACACTGTGGACCTCAGCTCTGTCCACGTTCTGGCCAGTCTCCGTCCAATGTCTTTCCACAATCTGTCCACACTGTCCACGTTCTGGCCAGTCTCCGTCCAATCTCTGTCAACATTCCACACACGTCTCCAATGTGAACGCAGCTGATTTAGTCATTTATCAATGAGCCAAACATGTTCTGACGATAATGGACCTGAACCTGTGTGTGTGTCTCTCTGTCTGTCTCCCTCTGTGTCTC